CACTGTGAAGGAGTTGCACTGTGAAGGAGTTGCACTGTGGAGGAGTTACACTGTGCAATGGTGGCCTTGGTCACCAGAGTATTCTTCAGCCACCCCAATCATTTAATGAAACTGTTCTAGTTTTTATTATACTCAAAGGTATAGTTTCCACAAAACACTGGGTTGGCCAGTTTGCATATTTATAGATGGTGGCGGCCATCTTGGATTTTGACGTGGCAACAGGGTGTTTGATAGTGAACTTTTTAATGCCAAAGTTCAGTTACCAGATTACGTATTGTTCTCAGCTCAGAGGTGGTTTTTGGCCAGTTTGAGACGGAACAAGTCTGAATGATGTCAGATGCTGGAGGAGCTGAAAACCTCATCAGTTGTTAGCTCGACAGTAAACAATTGTATCGTCAGAACAGAGATGTAAGGAGGCGTCTGGAATGTTCTGACCCACATTACTTACAGAAATGCAGCCACACCAAAATGGAAGTCGGTGTCTCAATAATTTTTCAAATCATCACAATTACAAAACAAGCAGAAGGTAAAATCCTCATTGACAAAAACATCACAGACCTTCTCACAGAGTTCTTCACACAGCATATCTTCACTCACCCTGCTCTCCTCGAGACTATCAAAAGGCCCCGGTGGATCATCGAGACACAGGAACTCCCTCACAGTCAGGCTGTAGGAAAGAGAAGACACTGAAACGTAAATCTGTGGGAACCGTTGAACTAAACAAACTGTGTCAGTCAGTGGTTGGGATTCTTCTACGCTCCAGGAGCATGTTGTTACCCTCTGAATGACCTAACTTTAGAAATAATCAATTATAAAGCAGCTGATAACATTAAAACCACAGTTTGGTGTGTGTTATGCACCAGTTGGAGATGTCCTTGTGTGCAACCAGGTTTTGCAGAAACGCCTGGAGGCCCATCTGTCGGTCTTCTAAGAAGTCGCTGTCATAGTTGTCTTTAAACCACCTCTTAGGGGGCAGAGAAAGCCGGAAGCCGGGAAACATTTCTTTCAGCTGGAATGAACACACAGAGTGGGGAATGAGCAGCGCAGTCACTCCTACATAATGCAGCAGAAGACAAAACAACAGAACAGTTCATACTGACACCACTGCTCAGAACAAACGTCTGTCGCCACTCCTCAAATGTTTCCCATTATCTCTGGCCTCTTTAGGAGTCGGAGCTTTAACAAGAGAAAACAGGAGCTGAAATTCCATCCTCAGCTGCCCAGTGCGTTTAAAGATGGGTGTGATATGAAAACAAGCTGTGCAACATGTGACACATATTTTCCAGTGTTGGACAACTTAGCAAAAAATGTTAAAATCCTTGACATCAAGTTTGCATTGCTTGTTTATTTCAGCAGAAATATATGATATTGTCAGCTGGTTTTCTAACAATCTCTGGTTGAAGGGTACGTGTTCAACACAGTGGTCTGTTGCCTAGTATTTAATGGTCACCAATGGTGTACCACAAGGCTCAGATTTAGGACCCATCCTTTTTGCAATTTTTGTAAGTAACGTGGATCAAAACATTCCAGACGCCTCTTTACATCTCTATGCTGATGATACAATTGTTTATTGTCGAGCTAACAACTGACAAGGTTTTCCAGCTTCTACAGTCAGACTTGTTCTGTCTCAAACTGGTGCTAAATGCTGATTAAACCAAAGGGATGTTGTTTTCAAACAGAAAGTTGGTTCTTCTTCCTATCTCAGCCACACCTGGTGTTCCTATTGAGTTAGTAGATTCTTACAAACAACTTGGGAATTTTAATTGATGTACTCTCTTTTAAGCCTCATATTAAAAACCAGTTAAAGAAACGAAAATTGAAACGGTTTATTTTTCAAAAATAGATCTCGTTTAGGTGAACTCCAGGAAATGGCTTGTAGCTGCCACTTTTTTTTTTTTTTTTTTTTACCAGCCATCGATTATGGTGACATTAGCTGCTTCTTTATGACCAAGTATAATTCTGATCTCCTCGTTTCTATTCGGTTCTACTCAGGTGTAGGTGTGTCTCCTTTGAAAGTGTGTCTCCCACTCTGTGGGTGGGCTCATCTGTCAGAGCTTTGGGAGGGGGCGGGGCTTACGGCAGCACTCGCTGTTCGTAAAGGACAGTGACTGCTGAATGATTAGTGCCTTAACCCACAGCCTCTAAAAGTCACCAAAAGTCTCAACACTGGAAAAAGTTGCTAGAATTGTCTGGAAACTCGCAAAATATAGCGACAAGGTCGCTGTTGGATAAAAATATCATCTACGATATTCATCTCAATTACTAAAAGAAGCCACATGACGACAAGAGATTTCACAGAGTGTTACTTGCAAGGACAGACGGTCACAACAGGATTACACAGATGTACCAAGTTAAATGCTTGGAGCCCAGTCGCGATAATCTGACACGGACGGTGCGCGTGAATTGTTTCTATATCATTTACCAGCTCCTCCAAGCTCACGCACTCAGAGGTGACCTTGAAGTACCGGCTGTACCTGCAGCCTCAAATCATCCAGCTCTCTCTGGTAATTTAACATTATTTAGTAATAAACATCCTAGACCTTGACCAAAATTCCCCTGACAGTCGCCACATTGGCAACAGTTTGCCAATCACTGGCTGCAGTTTGCCCATGATGGTTTGCTCAGCTCACTTGGAACCACAGCTAAGATTGGTTTCATTAACCGAACAGGAACAGGGAAAGGGGACACTAATGGCCGATGCCGAGTCGATGCAAACTGATAAAAGTCACGTCAGTGGAAAAGCAGCTTATGTTTAAATGAATGTCCCTGCCAGCTGCTTGCAGAGGTTGGATGCTATCTACCATGGCGTGCTAAGATTAACTGGTTGTAACTGCAGTACCCATCACTGCACCCTGTACTCCAGTTGGTCATTAACGTCACACACTCTCACACTGGTTCATTTTCATCTATAAATCCCTCCTTGGTCTGCTGCCTTCTTATATCTCCTCCCATGTCACATCATAAGTGGAGTTACAGCGTGCGCTCTCAGGCCATCATTACCTGCAGTGTCCCCTCAGTGCAGAGTGACCTCAGTAAAAAGGCCTTTTTTACTCTGCTCCTGTAACCTGGAACACCTTACAACAAGAACTGAAGCTGGCCACTTTAATTTTTAAGGGGTTTTAAACATTTGATGAAGTCAATAGAAAAATCTAAGAAAAAATGTTAATGTTCAGTTTTTTACCTTGTTTTATATGGCACCTTGGTTTTATTGTTTTATTATAAGGTTGTTTTAATTGCTTGTATTGTTGTAGGTAACCCTCAAGGGTCTATTTTAGGTCCACTGCTTTTTAATCGCTACATGTTGCTTTTGGGTTCCATTTTTAGAAAACATAACATCCCTACACACACATTCATACAGCATGCTAGTACTCACACACAGCCCTCTACTATAGATAAAGTCTTAAAGTATAAAAGTTTAAAACCTAAACTCATCTGATGTGTAATATTAAGTAGGTGTTCAGTCCAGCTGTTACGCAGTAATCATAAAGACGTGCTTTATTTAAGAAGCAGTGTTGGTTAAAGGCATGATGATTTATTTAACTTTTGTCTTTTGAGAGACAAGAAGCATTTTTATCCACCGCCAGGTGCAGTGGTGGAGCCAGGGGGTGGCCAATGGCGGCCTTGGCCCCCATAGATTAATCTTCAGCCATCCCAATCATTTGAGGAATTATACGTTTAAGCAAAATAAAAGCTAGAAAGCATAATTTCCTCAGATGATGGGGATGGCCAGTTTACACACATATATGGATTTTGATGTGGTGGCCATCTTGGATTTTAATGTGGGAACACAGTTTTCGAAAGGAAACTTTCTTGTGCCTAGATGCAGCCACACACCAAAATGGAAATTGGTAACTCACTTATTTTTCGAGTTATTGTGCTCACAACGTGGACGGACAAACAGAAGGTATTTCTAATCCCCCTCTTTGCTCCATAATGGGGGGGATCAAAAACCGCCTCTGAGCTGAGAATACACAATCTGCTAAATGAAGCCAATCACCCAGAATCTAACAAAGTGACAGCAACGTTCCCGTCTGGACAGTGAAAACTGATTTTAAATACTGATTTTTTTACTTTGTCTTTCCTTTTGCTCTGTTTGATTAAACAGGAATAATGTCCACAGTCCGTAACATCTCTGCTATATCAGCTGTGTTTTACAACATTTTTCCACATGAACGACCAATAAATGGCTCCATGTTTTCATGCTCTAGTGATTAGTGACAAACAGTTCTGCAGAAGCGTGACAGGACCTCTCACCTAGTGGCCCAGGCCTCGGAGCAGCAGAAAGCCTCTTTGTGCCCCACAATGGACTCCAACACAAAGCAACCTGATAACCACCGATACCAAAGAGTCGGCAAACACTGCAGCGTGATAAGACAAGCGGAGCTTCCGATAGCCTTGACATGGTTTTACTTTTTGGTACCTTGTCGTTGAGTCTGGAGAAGTCTGTGTACCGCCTGAACACGACCCAGCTTTCATCGCGGGTCTTCCTCACCAGGATCTTATAAACCTGCAGCAGAAACGTCACAATAAGTTCACATTTCATCATGTAATCTGGTCTCCTGTGTGATTTATAATCAGATTAGGTGATGTTTTGTGAGAATGAATCAGTTCTTTGTGCTTTTTTTTTTTTTTTACCGTGAACTTGGCTCTCTCCTCCATGACCTCGTATCCCAGCACGGTCGGGGTGATGGGCCTCTCCTCTACCTGCTGGCTCCCAGCAGGATCAGATATGGACCGAGGGCAGGTGGAGTACGCCACCGAGGTCTCCAGGGACCCGTTCAGCCTGGCCTGTGCCACAGAGCTCTGCAGGGGCGGCGTCCGGCTGCGTCCGGCTCGGTCTTTGCAGCGGGACTGACGCTGAGAGTTTCTGTCATATTCCTCCCGGGCAACAGAGGACGAGGACTCCAAGCTGCCCGAGACGCTTCCAAGAGACGCAGCTCGCTGTGGCCGTCTCGGCTTGTTTTTACCACCCAACAAGGGTTTGTCCATCGGGACCGGGACAGGCACAAATGGTGAAGCCATGGTCCTGAGATGTGTCCTCCCGGTCCTCTACTGGCCACACCAACACTGACCTAGCCTTGCCCCCAGCAGGGTTGTTTGACGACGAGGTCTAAAAATAATCCTCAGCTCAAGGGTCCGTCGTTCATTTTACAGGCCCTGTGGAAACATCATTATTATTTGTATAATAATCTGAGAAAAAAATCAAAATGGTCCAGAAACCAAAGCATAAATGAAACAAACTGTAAGAGCAGATGATTGCATGCCACCATATGAACAATTAATGGGTTAACAAAACTACTATAAATAGTAATTATTATATTTATAAAGGCTGTCCTTCCTCAGTGACAGCAAGATGTAAATACAGACCCTGATGGTCTGTCCATGACACATGTACATACAGATGTAAACAAACGAGTTAAAACTGTAATCTTTAGTCACACATTGACATCACCTACAATTTACCTGGTAGATTAGTTAGGTTAGGGAGAAAGTCAGCATTCTTCTCGTACCAGACGTCTTGTCATTATATGCAGCAATAATAAACATATGTTTCTTAAAGTAGGTACGAGCAGCAAAAACACAACTACAAGAACGTCCAAATGATCTTAGCCCAACTGGAAATAAACTACTTTTAGCCAACTACAACTGGACTGACATAAATAAAGAGTCCTTTATGATGAAAGCTACAAGCCGAATCGCGAAGCATAATGTATTATCTTATAAAAACGTTTGGTAAAGCGGTTTTTGTTGATAATTACAGAGTTAAGGCCGTTTGACTGAATTATGTGTATATTTGAACTGAGTTCGGTGAGCGCAGAACCCACGGAGTCACATTGAGCTAAGCTAACAAAGCTGAGGTGAAGCCGGATGGACGGGACTTACCTGCGAAGTTTCAACATGTCTCCCTTTTCATCTTAATTACTTTGACAGGACAAATACAGATGTACGTTTCTTCCTGTTGAACCTTCCCACCGCTGGCAGGCAGGGCACCTCGGTGTCTTTAGCTTTGTCAGACCGCTGGAGGGGCAAAGGGACGACCACACGGGGGCGCTGCTTCCCGCAGTCTTCTTCTTCTTCTTCTTTTATGTTTAATGGCGGTTGGCAAACAACTTATAGGTGCATTACCGCCACCTTCCAGACTGGAGTATAGATTAGATGTCCTATCATTATATTCTCCCCATAATGCCTGACATCTTGAGAAACCTAAATATGCTGTTAAAAATTATATTTTCAGAAGATCTTTGCAGCAAATTTTTAACATCTAAATTGATTTTATTACTATTCATCTCTCTAATTAACAACTCTCTTTCCCGGCTGTATTTACTACATTCTAGAAGAATATGCTGCACCGTTTCTGACTCTCCACAAAAATTACACAAACCTGTACTATGTTTATTAATTATTTTCAGCGTACTATTCAGCCCCGTATGCCCAAATCTTAGTCTAGATATAATATCCTCTTCTCTTCTATTTCTATTTCCTTCCCTACATTCCCCTACTTTCCTTTGGATGCTATAATAAAATCTTGCCTTTTCTTCTCCATCCCATAATTCCTGCCATTTCTTTTTAAAATATATTTTACTTATACTTTTGATTTCATTTCTGCTTATTTTCATATTTACTTCAACCTTATCCCTTTTCGTTGCACTTTTAGCAAATTGATCCGCCAATTCATTTCCTATTATTCCAATATGAGCAGGAATCCAAATCAACTTTACCCTGGATCCAAACTCTTTGATTCTAAAAATTAATTGACCAATATTCAATATGATATCTTGTCTTGTATCTGAATTCTGTTCTAAAATACTTATTAATGCACTACTTGAATCTGAACAAATCAATATTTCCTTCTTTCTCGTTTCTTCACACCATTCTAGAGCCATTAAAATAGCCATTAGCTCACCTGTATAGACTGTCATTCTGTCTGTTACTCTTTTATTTTTCATAATATTTAAGTCCGGAACTATAAATGCTATTCCAATTTTATCATTTAACATTTTAGAAGCATCCGTATATATTTGTAGAAATTCAGCATATTCATTATTTACATACCTTTCGACCTCTTTTTTTTCTATTTGTCTGCCTTTTTCCAATAATCTTAAATCGACTTCAGGATTTTCAGTTAACCAAGGTGGATTTTCAGGAATATTCACCACAGGACTAATTAAATAATGACTTATTCCTAGCTCACTTATCTCATTATTTATAATCCATCCAAAACTATTAATTTTTGTATTTTTTACTTTTTCTTGACAAGGTTGTAATGTAATATTTGGAGGATAGTTTTCCTTATGGCCTTTAATATTTGCCCAATAATTAATGGCTAGTTGTTTCCTTCTGATTTCTAATGGCATCTCACCCATTTCAACTTGTAAGGCTGATACTGGGGTTGTTTTCATTGCTCCACAGCAAATTCTTAAGGCCTGATATTGGATTCTATCAATTTCTTTTAATAAACTGTTAGACGCTGAACTATATACAACACATCCATAATCAATTACTGACCTGATTAGTCCTATGTATATCGTTTTTAATACTTTCCCACTAGCTCCCCAATCTTTACCTCTTAAACATCTCATTATATTTAAAATTTTTTTACTTTTCTCAACTATTTTCCTTACATGTATTTTCCATGTAAGTTTTTTGTCAAACCAGACTCCTAAATATTTAATCTGATCTATCTTTTCTACATCTTCCTCATATAATTTAAGATTTATATTAGCATTTATTTTCCTATTAGTAAAAGTAATAAACTTGGATTTAGATATTGACACTCTAAAACCCCATTTTAAGGCCCAATCTTCAACATTATGTATTGCCTCTTGCATTTTCTTATTTATAAATTCTAAATTTTTTCCCCTTTTCCAAATAAGACCATCATCTGCAAATAATGACACTCCGAAAGCTTTGTCTATTTTACTAAACATATCATCAATCATTATAACAAATAACATAGGGCTTCCCGCAGTCAGCCACAACGAACCGCATTAAACACGTGAGGGAGCGCGAGCGGAAGTAACAAAAAACAAAACAAAAAATAGTAATCAACTCATGATATCAACTCTGAAGCAAACTCAATATATTTATCTCTAGATAAATATATTATATCAATTAAATTAATTAAATAAATACATTAAGGTAAAATAATAAATATTTATGATGATCTATTTGTTTATAGGTCAATGTTTATCATTCGCAGCACATGTGGTACATGGTGGAACGATTATAGATGAAATAAATAGATTTACTTTCACACAAAGTTTTCCACATTGAGACAGAGTCAGGTGTGTCAGTCGGCACGAGGCGCTCACTAGGTTTACATTTCTGGAAATCCCTGCTCAAAGAGTTAATTTTGCCTTAGATAAAAGAAAATTAAGCCTTGATTGATTAATTATTGTTTAGATTATTCATTTTTATTTGAGTAATTACATTTAAAAAAATTATTCTAGAAATTATTATCATTTATGTTGTTTGATTTTGTTTATTATTGTTGACGATTTTTAGTTGAATTAATCATTTTTGTAATAAAACTTCAAAAACAAAATTGGTCTCCTTTGATTGAATATTAATTTATTATGGTATAGAACTCCCAGTAATTAACAGATTATACTTCAGTTACTGAGGTCTGATGATGATGGTTATTATTATTAAAAGGGTGAATATATTAATTTAGTTGTTTCTGGTCAATAAACTGACCAGCTGGTCCGCTTTAACAAGTGCAAAATAATAAGTGAGGAGCCAGTTCTTGTTAGTTTTGGGGTGTTGACCTTCAGGAAGAACATGGAAGAATTATCATGCCGTTAACAGACAACGCACATTTTGTGTTTGAAAGCAGGAATTCATCTATTTGTTCTCAAAACTTGTAATGCTTGGACTCGAAACTTATGCTCTCTCTCAAATATTCTGTTCTCTTTATAAACTGTGCTTTCCTGCTCGCATGGATCGTAAGACATTTTACTGACAGACACACAAAAATTAATACATTTTCACGCTCCGATGCTCTGATGACTCTTTAACTTCATTACTGTGATAATAATTAAAAATGCAGTGAATTAGCACTAACGTGCTTTGATTTCTCAGTGCTTTTTTTCAAAGGCATCTGTACCTCCAGTTGACCTTTGACCTTTCTATATTTGTACAAAATGTGTAATTTGTATATAGTTTTAATTCCTGAGATTGTTTGCGATACATTTGTATGACTTTTACATTTTTATTTAAAAAATAGCAACAAAACCTGTGAGGTTGTTTTTTTTAACCGAACATGAATTTTATTGTTAACGCTCAGATAAAATACTGAAATTACTGAGTACTTTTCTTTTTTTTTTTTTTACTAATTATGCCGACATATTTGTGTTTAATTGTCCAGTTCCAGGTCAAAGTATAGCTTTGGTGCTGGGTTGTATTCTGGTGGCTGCATTTATGAGCATGATGCCGTGCTTCTGCAACAAAGTTATCAAGGTAAAAACATTTGTAAATATTGAGCTTTACCTCATATTTACTTTTATTTTATGCAAATTAAATTGTGCATTTTGTCCATTGTCACCGATTCTGTTCATAACCTTAAAGGACAGAGTTTCTCAGTGCAGCCAGGGGGTGGAGGGGGTCTGGTCCAGTGGCCTCAGGATTTCAGCTCTGCTGTTTGCAGATGATGTGGTCCTGTTGGTGTCATCGTGCCGTGATCTTCAGCTCTCTCTGAAGTGGTTTGAAGCCGAGTTTGAAGCAGCTGGGATGAGGATCAGCACCTCCAAATCAGAAAAGGGTAGACTGCCCTCTCCAGAATGGGACTGAGGTGCTGCGCAAGTGCAGGAGTTCAAATATCTTTGGGTTTAGTTTTTAAGTGAGGAAGTATGGACCATGAGATCGACAGATCAGAGTAGCGTCCACGGTATTGCGTACTCTGTGCTGGTCCATTGTGGTGAAGAGAGAACTGAGCTGCAAGGAGAAGCTCTCTGTTACCAGCTGGTCTATGTTCTTCTCACCGATGGCCACGAACTCTGGGCGGTGACCAAAAGAAGGAAATTGTGGATACAGATGGTCAAAGAGTCGGAGTAGAGCTGTTGCTCCTCCACATTGAGAGGAGTCAGTGGAGGTGGTTGAGGCATCTGGTAAGGATGCTCCCTGAACACGTCCGACAGGGAGGAGACCCCGGGGAAGACCCAGGACACACTGCAGAGACGCTGTCTCTCATCTGGCCTGAGGACGTCTTGGAGTCCTCCCAGAAGAGCAGGAAGAGGTGGCTGTGGAGAGACGTCTGCTCAAGCTGCTGCCCCGAGACCTGACTCCAGAACAAGAGGAAGATAAGGAATGGATGGATTTTACATCCATATGATCAAACACCTGAAAATGTTCAAGATATGAACGGGTCCTGTAGAAGCAAAACATGAAACATCTAGAAGAACGTCCCAGATGTTTTTAGAAAAATCTCTGACAGCCACTCAGTGCAGTTTTTCTGCTCGCCACTTGGATTGGTGACTGAGGACGAGTTGGACAAACTCTTCAGACTTTAATTTTGATTTCAAGTGTTCTGGTTTCCTGAAAACTTGTTTTGTTTCTCAGCAGCATAAGAAAGTAGAACAACCACATCAGCTCGAGGTCGTGTCTACGGATCAGAAACAGGAGACTGAAGCACTCAACCCCGAGGGGTAAATATATCCTGTACCTGTGAATTATTTACAAATACTTTCATAGTACTTGTACTTCACTGAGTGTGTTTTATTTCATTTAGCAGAAATGATGATGGAGGAATGAGCTGCTTAGAAAAAACTCCAGCCACCATCAAAGTCCACCAAGTTGAGAACCTGGAAACATCTGGAAACAAACTTCACTCTGAACGTGGATTAAATTACAGAAATGTCTGATCAAATTAAAAATGTTTTCAAACACCACATGAAATGATAAAGAAGTTGCTTCTGAGGGAAACACAGAAAAGATAAAAATAAAAAGTTGTGCAACAAGAAGAAAAGCAGATGTTTTTATTTCAGTTATTGTTTTTTTTATATCTTTTTAAATTTGGACTTACTTGTTCATAATTACATGTTTGTAAACTCAGGTTTAATTTAATATCACCGTTAAATAGACAATAGTCTCTTCAAACACTATTCCAGATCATTTTGATTTGTATCTTTTTTCTGTAACACAAACTATATATTTATCACCACAAGGGGACGGAAATGTTCACGTTATATTAAAATAATCTCCAACACTATTTCTTTGATAATTTTTAATTCTTTCAGTTTTTAATAATTTCAGCCACAATTAAGGTTTGACAGCAACAGAACCAGAGACAGACCCAGAAAATTTGATGTAACAGTTAAATGTTCAAGTTATTATTGTTGATGATTCTTAGTTTGATTATTTTTTAAATTAAACTTCAAAGACAAAGTTGGTTTCCTTTGATTGAATATTCATTTATTTTGGTTTATAATTATCTTTAATTAACAGATGATACTTCAGTGACTCAGGTCTGATCATTATTATTATAATAATTATTATTATTAATAAAGGGTGAATAGATTAATTTAATTGTTTCTGGTCCATACACTGATCAGCTCGTGCCCCTCTTTAACGACTGTAAAATAATAAGTGTAGTAAAGTGAGGAGCCAGATGTTGTTAGATTTGGGGCGTTTCTCCTGAGGAAGAGGAGGAGAAATGAAAGTGAAAGTGTTCAGGCCGTCTCCATTTTCTCTGCACGGAGCAGATCAGAAGAAAGAAAAGTAAAGATTCAGGGTGAGTGTTAACCCAACAGCCTTCTGATTCTTCTGGTTCTTCTGTGGTTTCGTGTTTTGATCCAAACCTGCAGGAGCTGCTCTGATCTGTGTCCAGCTGTTGGACTCATGAGAACCAGCTGTTTTCCTGTCCGGGCTGTGATTCTCTGCTCAGCAGCTGGACTGATGAACAGAAGCAGCAACTGATGTGTGGAAGTCCACACTGTACACAAAGCTGCTCCCAGCTGCAGACTGACAGCTCATCCAGATGTTTCTGTCGTCACAAGCTCAGTGAGACTCTTCACAGGAAACGTCTCATTTCTCTGACAGAACCTCTTCTTCTCTGTGAGCTGAACTCAAAGTGACGAAGCAGGAAGTGAAGCTTTTTCTCACACTTGTCCTGATCTGTTCTTTATGAGCTCACAGTGTTGCTGCGTAACGAACACTGGGAACTGTGGACAGAAGCAAGACAGACTGGAAACGTAGAAAAGTTAACAGTGTTTTATTTACAGTACAAAATATCAAGAAGGGGGGTTCTGGCACCCTGAGGAACAAGGAGGGAGGTCAGGAAGGTGGAGTCCCAAGAGATGCAGGTTACATCCTTACAGCTGGTGTTATGAGACGGAGCCAGGGAGAAGAAGGTCCACAAGGATTCCAGCACGAAGGAGGAGAGTGACAAGTGGTGGGAAGGAGGGGAGACAGCTGAGGAGGTCCACAAGGAATTCAGGTTTTCCTCTGAGGAGTCCAGGATCCAGTGGAGCTCAGGGGAGGAGGCTGAACACGGAGAAAGCACAAGGTGAGTTCAACTATTGCAGTTATTCACACGTAGAGGCTGGAAGCACAAATACCAGTACGTAACGCTCCAGTGGGAGCAGAGCTCTTCTGCAGCCTTATGTCCTCCTGGCTCATCATCAGGGGAATGGGTCGCAGGTGTGATTGACTGGACGCCATCTTGGAACTCTGCAGAAAACTGACCTCCCACATACTGTTTCCCTCCCAGGCTGACTGAAGGACAGAACATGGACCATTGTGTGGAGGAAGAGGAGCAGCGAGCGGAGACTCTTCATCTGAAGACGGAGCAGTCCACACCTCCAGACTTCAGGACTGGACCTGGACCCTCAGACACAACGTAAGACCACAGAGGTGTTTAACGCCTTTAACTGAGACGTCTCTGGTGTTCTTCTACTAGATGATCTGTGGCAAACATGAAACCTTCTGATGTGCAGCAGCTTGACTTCAGATTTTCTTCAACAGATTAATGTTGTGATTCAAATAACAAGAGGGTCATCCTTTACCCCCAGTACAGCCTGCAGGGCCTGCCCCCAGATGTCTGCTGTGCTCATAGTTTAGCTACAAACATGTTTAATTATAGTTATTTACAGGTATTTTTTTTATCTTATCTAATGTGGTGGATGTCAATAACTGCAACTTCTGTTCATAGAAGAAATGACAGAAATGTAGTTCAAACAAATGAAATACTGTGATGTTTGCAAGACTTCTGCCAGAAGCCGGTCTGTACTGGATGGACTTAATGATTTATGTAAAAACGACAAAAGTCAAGCCACTCCCTGACTGTGGTTGTATAATGTGCACACAGGTTGATGTGATGTGAACATGTTTGTGTTTCAGAGGTCTGGACCTCGGACAGAGAGCAGAGTCTCCAGAATCCGTCTGTCTGTCCATGAAGAGCGACTTCTCCAAAGAAGAACCTCCATACTTCAGTAAAGAACCGAAACCTTCGGACACACAGTAAGAAAACTGTTCCTGATTCAAATCACTCCTCAGAGATGAAAAAAACTGTATTTAACTTTTGATTTTTATTAAAGTGTTTAGTATTTAAAGGATCTTTATTATCCCATAGGGACAATTTGTTTCATCGTTAGTAGACAAAAAATACACACGACTAAACAATATACCAAAATAACAAATCTGAATTCAACCTGTTCATTAAATCGGCTGCTTGCCTCAGGGTGAAGTGAAATTCAGGCTGTTAGTTGTGAATCTTGGCACCAGTCTGGCCGTTTTCACTGACCTCTGTAAAGATTAATGGAATACCCAGAGAATATGGACTGAAGAGAACTGATTCCAAGACTCAGTAAAAGTTAACAGTGTTTATTTACAAGTGATAATCTCATCAACGTGCACGGGGAGGGACTGGAACCAGAAGGATTTATGGTTTGTCGAGGGAGCAGGTGATCCAATGGTTCCAGAGTGAAGGGAAGACATCTGAGGAAAGCTCCAGGTTGATGTAGGCAAGTGACTGGAAGGTGAGGAGACAGCTGAAGAAGTCACAAGGGACCTCAAGGTCATATGGTGGAAATCCAGGAACAGGTAGGCAGCAGAAGCCTTTTGTACTCCTGCAGCTCATCAAGGAGACATAAAGCTGTCATTTCTAACCCAAACCCCGGAGCCAGGCCCCACCCGTCCCAGATTCGGACCGGGCCGGTCCATAATAATGTGCTTAATGTGTGGGCCAGTTTGGTGTCGGGCTTTTGATTGCATCAGTGGATGCGCGCAGCTGATGGTCCAATTATATGGCAACATGACTTGCCATACTATCACCAGCTGCACGCTGACTGGCCTTGAAAGAGGTAAAAAGTTCAGTTAAGCTTCAGATGGACTACTGCCTGGCAGCGATCCTTGAGCCCAAATGGACGTTCATTCAGCCGCGGCACTCAGCAGACGCACACGGCTGACGACCCAAACAGATGAGATCACAAAATATCCAACATGTCAGAGCAGGGTCCGTGTCTGAATAATGCAGAATGCAGTCAGAAGCAGGGATTTAATGTGCTTCAACGTCCATGAAAGGACAAAAGCTCCTCAGCTCCGATCTTCAGCCCCCTTTACTCAGCTGCATGCTTCCATCGATTGTTAATAGAAGCAGTCAAAGCTTAATTAAAAATGTCGGCGGTTTTTGGCTTCGGACCTGTAATTACTGTTAATATGTCGGATCTGGTGGGGTTCGGAAAGGATGACTACGGGCTGGGGCCGGGGCGGATCAGATTTTTTGGACTCGAATGCAACTCTAAGGAGATGGTCCACAGGTGTGACCTGTTGGCACCATCTTGTGACTGCAGGAAACTGGCAGAGCTGAACTCCCACAACCTCACCAGTGTTTTTAGAAACATTTACTGACAATCTTAAAGAGTTTGTTCCTGTTTTTAAATGTTAAACTCAGAGCAACATCTGAAGCTCAAAGAAACTCAATAAAACTCTTTTGAAAGTAGAATCAACATTAAAACCACAGAACTTCCAATACAGTCTGGACATTTAAAACTTATTTTTCCCTCTTCTTTTTAAATGTCGGTTTTCACATCAATTATTAATAATTCAAAAACACATTTAAACCGTTTCAAAGTTTGTTGTTTTTAATGCATTTCTTTAAAATTAAATGTCACTGGTGGTTTCTACAAAGTTCCAACCTGTTGATCAGTTTAGTGTCGCCCTAATTTAAAAAGACAAGGTTCACCACCAGGCACAGCATGCTGATGGTGATATATGATATGTGAAGGAGGAAAACAGAATTTAACAAGAGGAAAGTAAAAGAAATATCACAAGTGTTGGACAATTTCAGCCCAAAATGACTAAACACTACAGCGCACATATTAAAAAGATGTTTAACAGTATAAAAATGTCAGTAACTTCTTGCTTTTCTGGTTCGAACAGCTTCCCTGCAGACACATTTATTGTCAAGAGTTTGACCAACAAGCAGATGATTCAAACATCAGGAATAAACTGGAGTCAAACATAAAATGATCAAACTTTGAGCTCCAACAGGCTGCTGATTGAGAGTCCAGTGGTACAGTGCGTGTCTTTACACGCAGACTCTTCAAGAGGAAACTCAGTCTTGTTTTATTGAGTCACTATAAAAGAAATCATCTGCGTTTGGATTTCTACATTCCCAAGAGAGGACATAAAATACCTCAGCTGCAGGATGAGGAGCTCAGCTGACTTCTGACTGATTGAGGCTCAAAGGAAACGTTCCTCCAAGGCTGAAACAAAACTTTTAGGATTGTCAAAGAAACACTGTTGTACTCAAATGAAGCAAACAGGGTTTCTGGTTCCACCCAGCTCTGTGTTCCCTTCAAGGTCTTCAGCACCTGGAAACATTAAAATAACTCCCGTGAAAAAATGGGGGTTGAAGAAAATGTTTACCAATAAATAAACATTACTTTTCTTTTACTGCCTCCTGTTGTGCTCAGGTATAAACATATGTGCTGTTCTGACAGCAGGATGTGTGTGTGTGTGTGGGGGGGGGGGGGCAGCTTTAATTATAGGAAAAAAACAGGTGCCACTTAAAAACAGTTAGGAGTCATCGACAAGCATGAATCTGATTACATGAATCAGAAAGATGCCTTAGACATGGGCGGATCAAGCTGAATATTGATATTATCGATACTGCTGTAAGGATCGTTACTGAGTGATATCAGGGTAGTAGTATTGATATGTAGCTTCAGTTTTTCAGAATGATCTACTGTGGTTTTGCCAGCTTTCCATGGCTGTCTGTGTTCATTATGCTGCTTCCAACTGATGCTCTGTCACCGTGTTCTTATTCAGCCTTGGCTGAAGCAAGAACTGGTTAATATGAGGAGGAGTGGCACGCCGTAAAACAATACAACCGCAAGTATTAAACTATTAGTACTGGTTAGCATCATGCTGCTAACAGCACCGCACTGTTAACAAGACTTGCTAACGTTGCTAACAAGACCACAACGCTATCCATGGTGCTGAAAGGGCCATGTTGCTAAGAGAACCTCACTGCCAACAGAACCACTCTGCTAATAGGACCATGCTGCTGTAGATGAGTTTCACATTTCACTTTTGGCGTCTTGTTTTTGTATTATTGTTGCATGCATTGCCATTTCTTGTTGTTGTTGTTTTGTATATTTTTTTTGTTTTCTGGCGAGTCGAGACGGTTCTTCTCATCCTGAGTATTTCATTGCATTGTTGACCTTGTGTTAATTCTGCATATGACAAATAAACCAAACCTAAACCTAATTATTGAGCATGCATCAGGATCAACCTAGCAGTCTTTTTACCCATAAACTTAGTCCAGAGTCTGTGCTGGATTTTGGTATTACCTATAGTATTAGTATACCTATTGGGAAAAAATACTTTAAGGTTGCAAAATTACATTCAGATTTAGCAATATGATGTGTTCACATAAATTAAAAGTATTGTTATCTGGATCGGTATCGATATCTGCAATACTGGCCATTATTTACATGCTGTTGGATCGAGACAGATCTTGCAGTATTGCACACCACAAACAGACCTGTTGAAAACATAAATATTTTTAAGCGTATATATGAAATCTTGCAGGGATTTTTAAAATCTAAAGACATTTTTAAGAATATTTTTCACATACTCAGCATAAATTAAAAAGTCATTAACATCAAGTTAACAGATCCGCCTGAATGTTTCACACTGGAACTGAATAAATAATGTAATCTGAAGAACATGTTTGTGTTTCAGAGGTCCGGACCTCAGACAGAGAGCAGAGTCTCCAGAATCCATCGGTCTGTCCATGAAGAGCGACTTTTCCAAAGAAGAACCTCCATACTTCAGTAAAGAACCGAAACCCTCAGACACACAGTAAGAAAACTGTTCCTGATTCATGTTGCTAAGGTGGATGTCATTTCCTGCACATGACATTTCCAAATCATGGTGATGAGGCCAAATCAACATGGACAGCAACTGGAGCTGTCCTGGTTATTGAGCTAACAGTCAGGATGACTTCTGTTATTGTAAATAATAAGGCTGGCAAAATAAATAGCAAAGACAACTATCGACCTATCGCTTTGGCCAGTACTATATCAAACGTCTTGGAGAGGGCTATGTTAAATAGAATGGAGAAGTTTATTGTGACATCTGATAATCAGTTCGGCTTCAAACCAAACCTTGGCACTGATATGTACATTTTTGCTCTCAAGGAGATCTTGGATTTATACAATAGGCATAATACCAGAATTTTTATGTGTTTTATTGATGCCTCATAAGCGTTTGATCATGTAAATCATGGAAAATTGTTTAACAAATTGCTCGAAAGAGGAGTACCGAAATATCTATTAAGAATCTTAGTGTATAGGTATGCTCACCAGTCTATGTGTATAAAATGGGGAAAATCTGTATCCATCCATCACTCCATCCATTTTCTTCCACTTATCCGGGGTCGGGTCGTGGGGGTAACAGCCTAAGTAGGGAGGCCCGACTTACCTCTGGGAAAATGGGAAAATCTGGATCATCTTCTTTTAATGCGAGTAATGGTGTGCGACAAGGCTCCTTGCTTTTTTAACGTGTATATGGATGATTTATCTAAGCTGTTAAATCATTGTAGGACTGGCTGTTGGGTTGGCAATAGAACCATCAACCACCTGATGTATGCTGACGATCTTGTAATCTTTTGTCCATATAGTGCTGGTCTGCAGCAGCTGTTAAGGGTTTGCTCTCACTATGGATTGGAGTTTGATATTAAATATAATGCAAAAAAGAGTAACATCATGATTGTCAGGAGCAAAGAGGACACTAAACTATCTTTCCCTGACTTCACTCTGTCTGGCAGCATCCTCCAAGTCAGTGATGAGGTGAAATACTTGGGTCATTACAGAACTGCTGACCGGTCTGATGATAGGGACATTTACAGACAGCGTTGTATGCAATATGTACAAGTGAATATGCTTCTTCAGTGCATTCATGGTGGGGGGTGCTGTGTGTGTGGGGGGGTGCATGGGTGGCGTGCCGGGGCCTCTCCGGGCCTGTGGTGTGGGGCTTTAGGGATGCATTGGTGTGCTGGGCTGGCCGTCCTCGGCTGCTGCTCCCTGCTGCTCTGGCCCCCGGCCTGGGGCCGGCTTGCGGTCACTGTTGGGCAGGTGGGGCGCATGGACAGCCCGACAGAGGCTCTGTCGGGCTGTCTCTGTGTGCCTGTTTGTCTCAGGTTGGGTTTTAGGTGGTCCCCTCTCTTGGATCAGTTTTGGCCCCCCATTTGGTGTGTCATGCTCCCCTCCGGTGGTGGGCCCCCCTGCCGCCGGTGCATTGGCGGCTCTCAGCAGCTGGGGCTGAGTGGTGGGGTGTGTGCGGGCACACCCTGGTGGCTGCCTGCGGGGGCCTGGGTGCCCTGGCTCTGTCGGGCCTCTGTTGGGGGGTGGTATGACCTCGGGACTCGGGGCTTTGTGTCCATGGCCGGATCCACTCTGAAGGGGCGGATTGCCGGCGGGGCCTGTGGACTCGTCGCTGCAGCCTCCTGGGGTCTCTGCATTGTGGGTGCTGGTGATCGCCCGGGGCTTCCCTTTGCTTCTCTCTCTGGGGGGTGCAGGTGTCCCTGTTGGGGGACTCCCGGAGTTCTGGGCTTGGGGACCGCTGTGTGTCTGTGGTTCCGGTCTTCCCTGTGTTACCATCATGTCCTGTGAAGATGGGTCTGTGGGTCCCCACATCCACTATTGAACTTTTTTTTATGGAGAAACCTTATAGTGATAAGCATGCTCACAAAGGTGTTTAGATTCGGGTGTTTATCAGATACACACTCAGTTGGGTTGTGGTGGCCATCAAATATATCTTGTATTACCATGTACTGTATAAAATACTTTCTAATGATGTTATAAGTATCATTATATATGTTGTTTGTTGTTGTGGTTTCTCGGTTTTGTCTTGTTTTTTTTCTTTCTTTTTTTTCTAGGATCTGTCACACTGCGCTGCCTCGGACAAACAAACAAAAAAAAAACTCAGTGTTCTTCTGCACGGTGTAACTCCGACACACTTGAATATCTTGCACCTGAAACTTGCATTCTCTGTTCAGTCCCAGTCCAGAAAAACACTCATGTTGAAAAGTGAAAACATTCATTAATCAAGTCTGTCAGCGGAACATCAGCGAAACATCAGCATAATGCTTGATTAAAACATAAAAATTGCCCTGGACTTATGTTTTTGTAAGGACGTTTCTTTACTGCAAGATGGCAGCAGTGCACTTCTAAATGGTGGAGAGGGGAGACTTTGCATTCTTAACAAACCTGAAACGAAATCAAACTCTGAATAATCCAAGGGGTGTGGGGTGGGGGTGAAGGGTACAAATTGACTGGTAGCTCAATAATTATGACAGGTGAAGTTGGAGTCCACCCTTCATCATCATCACATCTGTGTGGCTTCACATTCGCCCTCATCCCATACTTACACATCATATTACAACCTCAGTGGAAATTTATAGCTTTTTTCATTCATTCAACCTTTATTTAGACAGGTTAATCCCATTGAGCCTCGAGGACTCATTTACAAGAGAGACCTGATTTCAACCAAGAATGATAAATGGTAAATGGACTGTACTTGTATAGCGCCTTTCTATCTTATAGAGGCACTCAAAGCGCTTTACACTACAATCTGTGTCCTCATTTACCCATTCGTACAGCACTCTACTAGATCTCTATAAAGCTAATTTAACAAATCATTCTAAAAAGACTAATGATGACAATAATGGACAACAGCGACAACAGTAGACAATAATAAAAAGGCATACAGATTTTTATTTATTTTTTACAAATAAGATGGCCAAAAATGTAACAAAAACAGCTAGATTATAAGGTGAATGAAGAAAACTAAAAACAGGAACATGTCTGCATTGGTCCCTGCCAGGAGTCCAACAGATTCTTAAAGCCACTTAGAGAGGCCATGGTCGAGAGCTTCAGATATTTTTGCAAGATATTCCAGGAAACAGGAGCGGAATAGGAGAAGGCCCTTTTGCCAAGTTCAGTCCGCACTGAGGGAACACTGCAGGTAATAATGTCCTGAGAGCGCACACTGTAGCTGCACTCACGCAGAGACATGTAGGAGGAGATGTATGAAGGCAGCAGACCAAGAAGTGATTTAAAGATGAAAATGTACCAGTGAGAGAGTCTGCGTGAAGGTAATGATGTCCAGTTAACCAATGAATACAGGGTGCAGTGGTGGGTATGATAATCTCAGTAAGTTATGAATCTTAGTGCACCATGATAGACAGCATCCAACATCTGCAGGGTGCTTGTAGGAGCGTTCATGTAGATAATGTCACCGTAATCAGTGGAGGGAAGGAAGGTCACAGATACAAGGCGTTTCCTAGCATTCAGAGTTAGACAGGATCTGTTTCTGAAAAAGAAACCCAGTTTAACTTTCAGTTCCTTTACTAGGTTTTCCACATGGAGCTTAAAAGAGATGTGAGTTGACCAAGATACCCAAATATTTATAAGAATCAAAAAACTCAATAGGGACACCATTTGAGGATAAAATCAGAGGAAAAACTGCAGGGACCGACTTCCTGTTTGAAAAAAGCATCCCTTTGGTTTTATTGGCATTTAAGACAAGTTTGAGGTGAAACAAATCAGACTGGATGATGTCAAAGGCTGATTGCAAAAGCTGGAAAGCCTTAGCAACTGTTTTAGCTCAACAATAAACAACTGTGTCATCAGCATAGAAATGTAAGGACGCGTCAAGGAGGCTATGACCTACATTACCTATGTAGATTGTAAAGAGGGTGGGTCCTAAGACTTAGACTTGTGGTACACCATTGTTGACTGTTAAATAACTGGAGGAAGTACCATTATGTTGAACACATTGCCTCCGATCTGAGAGATAGAGAACCAACCAATGGTGTGTTCTGAGAAACCGATTTCTGAGAGCTTATGACATAAGATGTTATGATCCACAGTGTCAAAAGCTTTAGACAGGTACTGGATCTTTGGGATGAACCAGTCTTTGCCGTAATGTATTTTGGGGTTTAAAAGCCATTGGGACATTCTGTTTAGAAAATAAACGCCTCAGTTTCTCTGAGATTCCCTCAACATACGGAATGACCACTGGTCTGGGTTCCTCCTTTTCATTTGATGAAAGGCTCTCTTTTCTACCTCCTCCATTGCTGCCTATAATATTGCTCCCCATGGGGAGCAATATTATAGGCAGAAACATGGGTGTGCTATGGGGTCTCCAGTTTCTCCTATTGTTGCCAACCTGTACATGGAGGAGGTAGAAAAGAGAGCCTTGACGTCCTTTTCAGGGACACCACCAAGTCATTGGTTCAGGTATGTTGACGACACCTGGGTTAAAATTAAATCTCAGGAAGTCCAACATTTTACTGACCACATCAACTCTGTGGATAAATACATCAAGTTCACACGAGAAGATGTAAAAAATGGCAAGTTGGCTTTCTTGGACTGTGAGGTCTCAGTCTCTGATAGAGGACATTTGCAAACCGAGGTGTACCGCAAACCCACCCACACAGACCAGTATTTGCAGTTTGACTCCCATCACCCTTTGGAGCACAAGTTAGGAGTCATCAGGACTCTGTACCACAGAGCAGACAGCATCCCCACTAGCTCGGGAGCCAGGCAGAAGGAGAAATCCTACACAAAACAGGCTCTAGAGCAATGTGGATATCCTAACTGGGCCTTCCTGAAAGCAGAGAAGAAACCCAAACAGGACTCCAGTCAGCCATCAGGTGAAAAGGAGGAACCGAGACCCAGACCAGTGGTCATTCCGTATGTTGAGGGGGTATCAGAGAAACTGAGACGTTTATTTTCTAAACAGAATGTCCCAATGGCTTTTAAACCCCAAAATACATTACGGCAAAAACTGGTTCA